TTTTATTTTTTGTTTTGTCTAACCCATCTCACTTCTCCCCCAGACGTTCCCTTTTCTCTTTGGCTTCCCCCCCCCCCCCGCTTTCTCTTTGTCTGGAAAGCCCTTTAAACATATTGAAGTAGTATTTGCTGTTCAGAGTTTCTGTTCTTTAATAGCATATGTAATGGTTTATTTACAAGTTATTTAATAACCTTCCAGAGAGGTTTAGGGAGTGGAAAGTCTTATAGTAAAAAGGTAGGGACCGTCTTCATAAATTAAAGATCATATACAAAAAAGATTCTCTTTGAACTCTTAACAGAAATTCATTGAATTGGGCGCATTTTAATATAAAAGCATCTTTTGGATCACCTCTGTTATGTGAAGCCAAGTACTGGGTAAACTTGTTCCATTTTCTAAATGTTGGGCAAGGATTAAATTATAAAAATGGAGGGAGGAAGAAAACCAACATTTTTTGGACTTTGAGTTTGTGCTGGGTAGTATTCTAATATTTGCAAATCTATGTCACTACCTGCTTGCTATTAAATGAGCATTACCACCCAGCAGGGATTATGCTAAAGGGTTTCTGGCACATTATCCCATTTAAACCTTCCAACCTTCTTAAGATTGCTTAATTTATTTCTTATAAAGATGACACTTGTACATGATACTAAATCAGAAAGGGTTGCAGTGAAAACTGAGTCTCTTTGGTTCCCTATCCTCTAGTCATTTGGTTCCTCTCCCAAAGTGCTAAAGTGCTGCTACTAGTTTTCTGTATTCTTTCAGAGATACTCTATGAATACCTCGATGGTTATACATATATTTTTAAAAGATTTTTACAAAAATAGTGTCATAGCATACATATAGTTTTGCATCTTTTTTCAATTGTCTGTGTTTATATCATGTCAGTAGATACAGAATTGCTTCATTCTTTTTATTTTTATTTTAGAGACAAGGCTTGCTCTGTCACCCTGGCTGGAATGCAGTAGCTTGATCTTAGGTCACCCTAACCTTAACTTCCTGGACTCAAGTGATCCTACGACCTCAGCTGGGACTACAGGCACTTGCCACCATGCTCAGCTAATTTTTAAATTTCTTGTAGAGATGGGGTCTTGCTATTTGGCCCAGGCTGGTCACACTCCTGGTCTCTAGTGGTCCTCCTGCCTTGGCTTCCCAACATATTGGGATTAAAGGCATGAGACATTGCACTTGACCTCATTCTTTTTAAAAGATGTACTGTAATTTATTTAACCAGTCCCCTGTTAATATTACTTTTTATTTTAATAGAAATACCCAACCCATTTATATTTATTAGAATTATTGGTTTATTTGGCCTTAGTTCTATTTTAAATATTTTCCTTTAAAAATATTTTGCTGTATGGACTGTGCTTACTTTGGGAGGACATACAGGTATATATTCTGATATTTGGAAGATTCATCCTTTTATGCTGGTGATTGTATATATAAGTGATTGAGTTTGTAACTTTTTACCATATTTCTTCAAACAATATCCATTGACTCCCTACCATTAGCAGTGATGAGATTAGTAGTTATATTTCCTCCTCCTTCCACTCCATCTGCTTTTAGTTGATTATATTGTTTTTCTTAGTTTTATCTTCTATCTTAAAACATGTGGTGGCTCATGCCTGTAGTCCTAGCACTTTGGGAGGCTGAGGCAGGTGGATTGCTTGAGCCCAGGAGTTCAAGACCAGCTTGGGCAACATGGCAAAGCCTTGTCTCTACAAAATAAAATTTTTAAATTAGCTGGGCATGGTGACGCATGCCTATAGTCCCAGCTACTTGGGAGGCTGGGTGGAAAAATCACCTGAGCCCAGGAGATTGAGGCTGCTGTGAACCTTGATCATCGTTATCATGCTACTGCACTCCAGCCTTAGTGACAGAGGCCCTGACTCAAAAACAAACAAGCAAGAAAACAAAATTACCTGAGCTATTAGCTTTAAATATATTTTGAACCCTGTCAGTATTAGATGAGGAAGTCAGTGCATTTATTTGTCTACTTTTTCCTCTTTTCTATTTTAACATTTGCCAATTGTAGTACTTTTATATTCTCTTTTGCAGTCATAACCTTAAGAGTTAGTCTTAATGTTAGATCAATTTAGTGCTCTTCAAAAATTCTTTTGTCATGATTTCTCCTTCTCATGGATAGTTGAAGTTTGTTCTCTCATAGTTTGTTCAGGCAGGAGATAAGGAATGCATTTTCTCTGAGTTTTTTTTTGTTTTTTTTTTTTTTGAGTTGGAGTCTCACTCTGTCACCCAGGCAGAAATACAGTGGCATGCTCACAGCTACTGCACACTGCAACCTTGGCCTGCTGGTCTCAGGCAGTCCTTTCCACCTCAGCCTCCCAAGTAGCTGGAGCTACAGGTGCATGCCATCACACCCTACTAATTTTTTTATTTATTGTAGATACAAGGTCTCACCTAGTTGCCTAGGCAGATCTTTGAACCCTTGGACTCAGAGGCAATCCTTTTGCCTCTATCTCCCAAAGTGCTGGGATTATAGGCATGAGCCACCATGCCTAGCCTCCCTGAGTTCTTACATATCAGAAGATATCTTCTGTCACCTTTATACTTGAACAGTAGCTTGGCTTGATAAACAGTCATTTTCAGGTCACTCTTCTTTTCTTCTTTCTTTCTTTCTTTTTTTTTTGAGTTGACTCTCACTCTGTCACTTACACTGGAGTGCAGTGGCACAATCATGTGCCACTGGGCTTAGGTGATCCTCTTGCCTCAGTCTCCTGAATAGCTGGGACTGCAGGTGTACACCACCACACCTGGCTAATTTTTTTTTTTTTTTTTGAGTTGGAGTCTCACTCTGACGCCCAGTCTGGAATGCAGTGGCCACTCCCGACCACCGCAGCCTCAA